CATAAGGGATCAGTTGACTGTACTCACCTCAGCGAGCAGTACTCTCGCCTTGTACTCACGTGCTATACAAATCCCCAGCACGAGGAGGGACGAAGGTTTTATAAGGAGAAACTAGGATTCTTCTTGAAAACTGGTCGAAAGGTGGTACATGTTAGGAAGGTGGTTGGCAGCTTGGGGAATGGAGTTCTACCGGAGAGGGGAGTTTGGGGGGGAAGCGTGCTTTTGGAAAAATTCCTTAGCTGAAAGAAGGGCCTCGAGTCGTGCAAACAAGGATGCGGCGCAGTTTGTCGACGGGGGGCATTTTGCTTTCCATAGATGTGTCGACCCATCTAGGTAGCCGTTTCTCGAGTTGACACGTTTTAGGATAGTGGCTAGACGATCTTACTTCAGCTTCACAAGAGTTCACAAGTTTTACCAGAGTGAGATTTGTAAACCGGAACTAGGGAAGCAATGATAATACAAAATGCCCCCCCCCGTCGACAAACAGCGCCCAAGGAGCCATCAACAAGCATATACGACGTAATTCCATAGTATCTGAGCGTATCGTGCTTCCATCATAGTTTATTAACTTTATTGTAAAGGTATTTTCTTGATGCCAACTCTCGCGGCTGCGTGAGTACAATCTAAAGCGGGTTGAAGTTACAAGGGGACGATTTACGAAAGCGGTCATTTGGCGGTCAGAGGTTACTGAGAGCTGACGGGGCCTGTAGTCTTCAGCTCGTCACAATCAACGTCTAAAGAAACTGGCGGTCTCATAGAGATTGCAATTGGCCATGGGTGCTGTAAACAGTGCCCTGTTCGTATCAGAGGCAATAGTACGATCTTACAAGTATTTCAGTGTCATAACGCCGAAGTAAGAACGTACAAACATCTCATGAAAGCCCCCACGGAGAGTATTCGTATTCCGAAGGTTTGCATTTTTTCATATAAATTATAATATAAATTTTCCTGCCGCATTGAAATTCATCGATGTGTACACAAGGAATTCTCACTGATGTCTTTTCCATGTGTTTTTTGCCTTTCGAGGCTCATAGGAGGGATGTTTGTTGAAGTGGCCTAACGCTTTGGCTCATTCTTCCTTTTTGGAGGGCTTAAGGTAAACTTTGGTCTGGGATTCCCCTTCCGAGCGCCTCACTGCCGCATTAAAAAACCTACAAAGAAAGCGGAGCACGGTATAAACGTGAGCTTGCCCTGTGTTTCGCTTTTGACTGAAAAATGCGTGACCGCAGTTGTAGCCATAAGTAGGTAATGCAGTAGGGAGTTATTACCCTTGGAAGGGGGTGAATGGCATCGATTTTGATACTCTCCAGCTTCTCGCTTCGTATAATCTCTTCGCTGTCGTGGATTTGATGTTGTTCTCTGTGTCAACGAGATTGTTATGCTTAACTTTTATTGCTGACCTGAGGTTTTGACCAGGTCCTTGTTCTCAGAGGTTGAGTACACTGACATGAGCGAGATGAGGTAGCTGTGCTAGCTGTTAGTAATAGATGTGTATCACACTGTCACACTGTATGACACTCATGCAGCAGCTGAGTGCGGCTCGTCCTCTATGGACAACGTTCCTGGCAGATTCACCCATCCATATGGCAGTGCTTCCGAAATCACGCACTATTTATAATTTGCTGCGTCTGTCTGTCTGTCCGGTAATTCAGTTCTACCTGAAGAACAAGCTGGATATCTGGTTAAGGTAAGGGTGGGTAGGGCTACGACATGATTTGAAGGCTCACAATCCATGGTAAGCCCCTTCTTACAGTGGAGGACGTGCACAGATAGTTTGCGGTGTCACTTAAAAAAAATCATTAGCCTCATTAGCTCTTTGCTGATACTACAATATTCCCACATCACGAGACAGCCCTCCAAGGCAGCCTCGTGATGTGGGAATATTGTAGTATCAGCAAAGAGTTGGCAGACCCCATGAAGAAGACACACCTGAAATGGCGGGACCTTCAGGACAGGCAGCGCTTCCGTTAGAATGTCTGTGCGTTTCTGTATGTGTGCTTCCTCTGTCCGTCATAAAATTCATAGCGCCTGTCCCAATAGCAGTGAGACATTGGTTCCAAGAACCAGTGTTGGGGATGTGACGGAAGCACTAGTGAATGGTCACGAAATTTGAACGCTGCTGATAGAAGTAATCTCCAGCTTCTCTCTACTTGCAACCGTGTTTCAATATTCTTGTGCCTTACGAGGTTGTTAGGTGGAACATTTATTAAAGGCCTAACGTTTCGACTCAATCGTCGTCTTCAGAGGCCAATGTTCCACCGTTTAAGCGGATAGGTCCGCTGCCACACTAGAGCGCTGTTAGTAGAAAAACTTTTGTGTGGCAGCGGACCTATCCGCTTAAACGGTGGAACCACTGGCCTCTGAAGACGACGATTGAGTCGAAACGTTAGGCCATTAATAAATGTTCCACCTAACAACCTCGTAAGGCACAAGAATATTGAAACGCTGCTGATAGAATTTGATGAAAGGAGTCAGGGAGAGACAACCCTCGCGCTCAAGTAATACATAGTCCTCCTTCCTTGTGCAAGTTGTACAGCCCCCAAGCTAGGGACTGACTCACTCTAATTCGACCACAAGTGAACGAGGAGCAAGCCACAGCAGCTGAAAGTTTTAGTTCTAACGCCTGCTCTGTTACCGCCTTACTTGCTAGATGCCCTCCGACGGAGGGCCACTCAGGTTTCTTGCTGCGGCGGGAGGAACATTATCAGAATTGCATGTTCATTTTGCTGACCACGCTCATGCCCATGAATTCTGCTCTCCTTGATAACAGTTTACTCATTGGGGCATATACATTCAACTCAACCCATTTCGTAAGATGAAACGCGTAAAAATCACGAGTGACGCAATTTTCGTGGTGCAGGAGCGTCGCGCACGTCACACTAACCTAAAAATGTGTCACCGGTAATCCCAAATCAGGACACCGAGTTTTAAAAATTATTTTCCCCTTCCAGAGTTTTTTTCCCGCCCGCTTTTTGTGTGTTTTTTGTATTCCTTTTTTTTGCAGCTGATGCTATCCCCTACTGGAAGATGATAGAGAAGATTGTGAGTGAGCTAGGGGTGTGCCATGAAGACCGCAGGTAAAGTGTGAGCTTGAGGGAGCCATTTTTGTTTAGGGCCGGTTCTTAGCACTCTTCTTGGCTTTTTCTCCCCTGGGATTACTATCAGCTACTGTTTCATAATTGAAAGCCACTATCCGTGACACTTTTATCGCGGGAGCTGTCTTTAGCTCGGCATATTCAACAAGCGGGAACAGCTCATCTAGGTGCTGATTCCAAGATAAGATGTAGGATATGGGAGAGGAGCATCATTGACGGTTTAACAAGAACTGAAAGCTGCTCAGAGCATCAGCGAGGCTTTCGTTCCATCAATTGTTCACTGAGGATGAGTAGGTGACAAGAAGCGATAACAGCCGATAGGGACGATGAGGGACCTTGCGGTCGTTGTTAGGGTTGTTGGAGCTATTGCACTACAAATTATAAATATTTAGTGATAAGGACATTGATGACCTGTGACAAATAATGATATCAGTCGACAATATTAGATAGAATCACATTCATTACCGTTCGTTCTGCTTAACAGCACTACCTTGCCTTCTATCGAGAGGCTCCATGTGTGCACTACACCTCCCGCCTGTTTGAAGCGATTTACAATGTTGTAGACGGTCCGCTGCTTGAAGCCAGTCGTACGAACAATGTCGGCCGTCTTCATCCCTGACTTGTGCAACTCTACAACGGTGACGCGCTGATTTTCACGGGACATTGTGAATAGTAATTGAAAGTGATTGGTTGGATGACTCATCATAGTAGATCAAAATTACGCGCGGAATCCAAATAACTGATCGGAGAGAAAAAAGCCATGATGACTACTCAAAAAACGCGCCAACACAAAATTGCCAGAACATTTTTAGTCACCCTGTATTTCCCTCAGCCATCACGATATCAACAAAATCGTCCATCGAACATATACTGTTATGCTCTTGCAATAAGGTGCATGTAGCAATGTCGCGCGGGAAGGGATGGGGGTGTATTGTGCGCCCAATACGGTAAAAATGAAATAAAGAAAAAGCTGCGACTTTAGTTCGGCTTTCCTTCTAACGTCCCTTACTAACTCTTATAATTGGATATCATCCTCTGCAGCCTGTAGTGAATGCCCTCATCCCACCATCAGTTTATTTATTAGAACCAACGACCCACTGTTACTGTGACCAAAATATAATCTGACGAAGGCTCATTTTCAACGCCCATCATCAGTCCTTATCAGTTATTATCGGGTTCCTCTCACCAATGCATAATGTTCTCGTCTCGTCCCTGTTTCACTTATCAAATTGAACTTTTTGGAGCTAAACCTAGGAAGTTGTGAAAGCCCGGTTAAACAACATGCATGCAGACCGTCAGAACAACTTAGCGGATTATATAGAGTAGGCTGTTCACGTCATATTCTGGGATTTGATGCAGAAATTAATGAGTTCGGACTAATTGAAGCATTCCGCATTATTTCGGTACACTTCAATTGTTCAAAGTTCTAACTCTTCAGATTTACTACATGAAGATGTTCACAGAGTGGAATCCTGTCAAAGGGTATATAATCATGGAATACCTTGAGAACCTGAAGGCAGTGCATCTATATGAAACCGTTACGCCACAAGAAGTGAAGCAGGTTTGTAGGAAATAGCGTACCCATTACTAGAAACTCTATGAATTGTACACTTTCCTTAACATGAGAAAACTGCCTTTCGATGTACATTTGCGTATACTACAATAAATGCCACCCAATTGAGATTCTTCGACACAAAGCCGCAATGGAAGCGAGCTCACTCGACGTGCCCTCAGAAGAGAGAAATGAGTACATATCACCTTTCAAAACCATATTCGCAGCGGTATTCAACGAAAAGGTCAGTTTACTAGTTGCAGCCGTGTATGCATGCCAGTAATGTACTTTTGCTACTATGTGAATGGAGTCCCCGAGGTTCACGAGACATCGGCATTACTGCACTTCTTCTCTTTTTCTAGAACTATTCAGATGCTGGATCAAATGCTGACGGTGTTTTCTACAATTCGAAGGCGGGAAAGTTTGCTGAGAGCGGGGAGCATCTCAAGGAAATTTTCCCGGATTTGGTGGATCTTGATGGGTGGAAAATATGAGCCAAGAGCTCGGTAAGTATGCTCCGGGGTTTGCAAAATCGGAATAGAGACCATACTAAAATGAGCCTGCTGTGTGGTTTCTACGCGCACAGAGCGCTGTTTGCTTGCTACCCACGGCATTGCAAAAAATAGCTTTTTAGGAATGGAAGAAGTTTTATGTCACGGCGATTTATGGTCCATGAACGTTTTGTGGAGACAAAAAGGAGATGCTCTCAACATGGCTGCTGTTGTGGACTATCAGGTAGCAGTTCTGATTCTTGCAAGGCAAGTCTGGAATGAGTGCATATTGAAACTTAGTTGCTAACCAAAGGCCACTTCAGACGGCCCATTTTGGCTTGTGCAGCAACCGATCTTGTGCGGGTGCTTTGTGCCTGTCTCAGCGGCAAGGATCGGCAGGCTCATTGGGAAGAACTTTTAGGAAGAGTTTTACGGATATCTCAGAGAAGAAGTGGGTAACAGGAAGATGCCATATACCCTCGAGCAGGTAAGCGGAGTTTATATATCTAGTGCAGAAGCCATTTTCGAACTCCCTAAGATGTTTCGTCCTTTTCAGCTCAAAGAAGCCTATCGTCAATATTTCCCCATTGGTGCTTTCATGATAGTGCCCATGATAGGACCTTTTTTCGAGATGGTGTGTAAATCGACTGATGAGGAAATCAGGAAAAAGGTATAGAAAGTTGTACTCAATCGAAGTCCAGCATTGAAGAAGCAAGTGGGTAGTACTTATAGGGCATGGAAGTTGTTATGGAAAAAACCGAGCGCGTGCTTGAGACATGTTTTTATCTTCACGAAAGAAACATGAAGCTCCGAAAAGGACGAAAAAGTTGCCAAGAAGTGTTAGAATAAACCGTTAATTCTATGTTATGTTAGACCCAGTGTTTTATTGCGAAGAATGGGTTGGCGTGCCGAAGTGATGACAAGTTGTAGTGGAGCTGTTGTAGTGAGGTATGGCGAAAGATGACGACATTGTGACGAACAAAGAAGGTAGACGATATCCCCTTAACCTAGCAGAGAGAAATAAGAAAAACAGAAGAACAAAAAGTATAACATACAGACAGGGTGCTGCTGCAACTCGGATGGAATCGCCATTTACTGAACGGAAAAAAAACAATGGGGCAAGTAATTACACAGATGTTGACATTTTCCAAGAAACCCGTTGAGCCGTAGAATTACACTTTTCAAGGCATACCTATAATAATGTTCGCATTGGTGCTCATATAGAGTACCCGTTTAGGGAAAAGTTTTTTCTATAGCGTGGTCCCTTTCGAAGGTCTTCAGAGAAATTAACACACGGTTAGAATCAGCTTCCTGCGCTGCATTCGACTATTCTTTTTTCAGTCAACGGAAAAACTTCCATCAGTGAACTCTTCCTTTGTGTGTACCAGCAGATGTTTCATCGTGAATTGAAGTCGAGGGTGCAGCCTGTAACTTCATGTACGCCGAGCATGCGTGCGAGTTGTTTTCACAGTTGCAAAGGAATGCAAAGTTCCAAGCTATAGGAATAAGCCAAACTGTCCGAAAGGGAGGAGACAGAGTAAACCGCACAGAGTAAACCGACATGGACGTCGAAGACTGCGCAACGCCAAGTGACAGCTCTCTTAAGGACAACTGAAATGTTGAAGAATGCAAGCAGCTGTGAAGAGATGTTTGATTGAAGTGATCCGTTCCGATTTGTCTTTACGGCTGGCAGGGGTACTGTCCTGCCACTCTCCACGCAACTCGTGAGTGACATAGTAAAACCGTTGCTGATGCTGCTCTATATAGTCACGCCACTCTGAGCACCCAACTTTTTGATTTGACTTCTCCTTTACCAGTCGGATCGACCGGCTTCGCCGGCCGATCCTCCTTCCGCGTGTGAACTGGGTCCCTGTGAGAAGTAGGGTGTGACTCCCTCACGGGTGTGACTCCCTCATTTCATCCGCCAACTGACTGCTTATCGTTTCCCACAATTTCCGCTCTCCGGGATCTTCTAGAACCGAACTACGAATTTTTGAAATATGTAGCTCACAACTGTGCGCACGCCCCGCCCACAGTGGGCGGGGCTTAGCCTAGTTCACGTGTGTTCCGTACATCTTGGCCCATGCCCTACCCATCCCAACCTTGACCCGCCCCCTGAGACTGGCTCTTCAGGTAGTTCCGAATTTCCGGACAGACAGACAGACAGACAGACAGACAGACAGACAGACGTCGCCGTTTATATATAGTAGGATCAACAGGGCGTGTGTCATTAGTTCAGGCTCGCAGCGAAATACGCAGATTAGCTGAGTATTAACAAGCTAGTTGGCACAGTGTAGCTTGCTTGGCACGGGACAGCGCTGCACTACAAT